GACAAGTCAAAATGGAAGGAATGATTGCAGAAACACTTTTTTATTGAGGGGATGCTGGGATCTCACTAGTGAGAATGGAAGGGAGGTGAGAAGGGCTGCGTCTGCCTGTCTGTTTGGCCCTAATTGAGGTTGGGAGGAGGGCGAGTCAGTGTAGCAACACTCCCAAATAATCCTCCTCATGACAGATTTACAAGGAATCATTTTCTGAGAGTGTTAGTGAGGGGATTTGAGGAGCTAAGACAGTGAGACAGCAACAAAGTAAAACAGGGACGAAGAGGTAAAACTGCCCAGCTCTGATAATCTATCTTTGTGCATGCACTTAACATCAGCTCCAGATGCTTCCTTTTAATTGATCTAATCTGTTCTCACAGCCATTATCAGAAATGTATTTACATGGAATGATAAAAGACTTCTAATTTTTATTCCTTCCTAAGGTGGAACAGTTTTGTTCTATTTTTGCTTGTGCAACAATTATATTGTGGGGGGAGGGTTCACCCCTCCAAGTGTTCCAGTTTAAATGTATCAGCATCATTTGATGGTTCAGACAATAAAATAAAGGTGACTGCATCATCTAAAGATAGTTCAAGTGTAAAGTTAGTCTGAAGAAAGCAGCAGCTTGTGCACAAGAGCTCTCATTTAAAAAAAACAAACAAATAAGTAAATAACAACAGCCATACTGGAAGAGGGTCGTTTATAAACTATGCAGTAAAATACAAATAATATCTAATCATAAGAATTGCACTGTATAATTCCATGACAAATTACCTTAATTTTTCCTCTTAATTAACTGTGCAACATTATACTAATCTACATTGGAGCCATTCACAACTACGCTCCAGGTTAAAAGGAGTACTGAATGCTGTTTTTCACTGGCTTAGAGTCGTCTCTTTCATCAGTATAATACTCTACTGTGCACGGAGAAATAGAAAAGCCTCTGTGTCTCTTTGTAGCACTTTCAGCCACATAGCCTTGGCACAAAAGTTATGATGGGCATACATTATCATCATGAGTTGACTGGCTATAACTGGAAACAGTTATAGTGCCAATGAAAAATGCAATGGCCATGGCCTGGCCATGGCTACGCTAGGGTTTTATGATGATCTCCTAGTTTAAATCTCAAGCCCTTGCCAGTGATGACTATCACAGTGTGATCAGCAAGAAAACAAAATCATAATGTGCTGGATAATGAGCACATTTTGATTGTTACTTCTGCAAGTAAACACGGACCCTGATCTAGTCTTTGCCCTACGTTGTGTACAGCGCCTTAGCTACGCTTTACTGTTTATTCAAACATTAATTTTGCTGAAGTGAAATCTGACTCACCACGTTGACTCAGTTGACACAAACAACAAAAGCAGAGTGAATACTCTTGTTCCAAAGAACTTTTATATGCATACTTTGGCAAATATGCAGGTAGATAAATATGCAGGAATTTTTAACTCGTGAAAACAATCAGCACATTTACTAAAACAAACTATTATCTTTTAGTTCTGTTGTGTAGCAGTAGGTTTGTTTACTGTACTTCATGATTGGCCTCAGGTACACAGTGTATCAATAATTTAATAATATAAATGTGATGGTCTTTTGCCACAGTTTTGTTTTGAGTTTTGTTCTCATAACTTTTGAATTCTACTCACTTAAAGAGTGAATAGAGGGATTTGCTCCCTTGTATTTTTGTACTATTTTCCTTCCCATTTGTCCTTTTGTATTATGTTTTAGGCTGCTCTCTGAGTTTTGCATTCTGGTTTATGGTGTGGCTATTCTCTTTTTCTCCTTTTCCATTCTCTCTTTTTTTGACTTTCTAGCTGACTGGTGTTAAGGTTCAAAAATTGAGGAAGGAGAGTACAAACCACCATGGTCCAGAAGATCTTGGTCAAACAATGATTTTAATGAATGCACATGTGGGAAGACACCCTGTACGCAGACAGCAATCGATCTTCGACTTAATCAAAGCATAAACAGATTTTTATAGCATCAGGGTTTGATTTACTGACGCCCCTTCATGCGTCACAGATACATTTTATACATACACACGTCAAATCAAAACCACAATGACTTTTAACACAGTTTAAAAGAAGATCATCATCGCCGGTACTTCCTGTCTACCTTTCTGTTCTTGTCTTAAAGTAAATTGTTCCTCTTTCTTGCCGAGACAACAAGGAACGGTTCCTCGTTTACAGAGACACTCTCGCAGTTACAACCAGACATGACTAACCTCTTTCCTATAAATAAATCTCACTAATGTGTGTGTGTGTTGACCTTACTCAGCCTCTATATCACCTCTCACCTACTAACTGTCTGTGTCTTGTCCTTAAATGCTCTTTCTCAATTCACCTGTTGCACTTCTGACCTTTCACCAGAACAGGGGCTCATCCTTAGGTACAATAACCTAACTGAAACTACATGTACTATGTTGAATAAATGTTTTAATCAAGAACCTCTACTAAGAGCTTAGTAAAAGAATATAAAAGTATAACAGACAATTTGAATAACCTAGTAATTCAAATAGCCTCGTCTAACCTGCTCCTCAGAATAACTTTCGGTTTCAGTCCTGCAAAGCCTTCTGCAACTCTCTGCAACTTCCTGTCAACTGCTGCACTTAGTCTTTCTAAGACACACACACACACTGTTTAAACCTCTGAATACAATATCAATGCTGCAGATTATATTATTAATGCAATGGTAATGATGATGATTATTTATTTTCTGGTACAGATTGTTGTCTTAGTCCTCCCTCCGTCTCCTCTAATCCCTTTGTATTTCCCTGTCTCATAATTGCACTGAAGTTTTTAGTATTTAGGTATAAGACGTATGTCAGTTTTACTTCCTGTCTGTCTTCCCTCGATTTCCTAATTGTTACCTTCCTGTGTCTCCTCCCTAATCAACCTTCTGTGTGTATAAACTCTGTTCTTCACCTGCCGTTCTTTGTGGAGCTCTCTGGTTATATCCCCTGTGCGTTCCCTGCCAGTATATGGATAGCATTTGATTTTTCCTTGTAGACGTTTGTGTTTTTTGGACTTTTAGTTCAGCCTAAATAAGCAGCTCCCTTTTTGTGTAATCTGTCTGCCTCGGACGTCCTGCATTTTGGTTCCCTCTCCAATTCTCCACGTCTCACCAAATTAACCTGTCATTAAGAATTTTTAACATTTTTCACTTGTGTGAATTTACTGTTATGTGTGTTATGTTACTAGATTATGTAATTAAACTCATCCTGTTAATTTTTGTTTTACATTAACAGACCCAGGTGTTATTTGATTTAGGAAATAATACACAAAGTATTTATAAATTTCAAGTAGCTGAATGTAGGACTATATTTTGTCTATATGTTGAATCTTGCAATTTCCTTTTGCAGCTTCTGGCAAGTAGCTGGAGATTTCCAGTTTTTATTCCTCAAGAAGGTAAAAATAAATGCATTTGATATTATTCAGCTCTATGGTCCTGGTGCTCTGCCATGTAAGAAGACGCTGATAAAACACAGAATAAAAGAATACACTCTGAAACACAGAAACAAACACGCTGCCTTGTTTAGGAAAACAAATGTTCACTACGTATAATCTCCACACGACGCACCCTATATACACACACACATAGAAAGCAAGAAACAAACACATACAAACAAACGAGGTTCCTAAATCAGTCTCCTGCTGACATGTTTGACTTCTGAGGTCTATATGATTGCCTCTAGCCTATGAGCTGGTAAACAGTTAAATTACCCCCCGAAGTCAAACAAAATGTGTCACGTTGGAGCATGTTATGGAAATTATGTTTAGAACAGGTTTACTGTCGTGCAAAAATAATGTTCCAAAAGACACAGAATATAAAATATAGATGGGTTCACTATGAAAACATTTCATATCAAGAAGAAGAGAAATGAGCACACACACTACAGCAGGTACGGTCATCCAGTTCTGACGTTTATTCTTCCACAGGATGTGTTTTTACTATTCCACAGTTTGTGTATGTCTGTTTGTCCTCCTTCCTGATAAGAGGGTTTCTACTCTTGCCTTCACTCTGCCTAACCTCGCAGGTTTGCAGAAATAAATAGAGACACCTGAAAAGTGATCTGAGACCTTTGCACAGGCCTAATTTATCATGTTACTGAGAAAAAAATGTCCCTTCTGCTTCTCACTGAATCATATTTTCAACTTTTCAAGTTAACACCACATCTTTTTCACTGATTTGTCATGGCTTATCTGCTTCACGATAAACAAACTCATATTTCCTTTTGATTTTGTTTGAAAAGAATGCATATAGATTCAGATATGTGTCTGAGATTCTCTTTGCCACATGTCAGCGATACTCACAAACATGTTGCAAAATAAGCAATATTAAGGGTTTTTTTCCCCATTCTGTAATCTCCATAATGAATGATTGGTATGAAAACTAAACAGCACTCCAAAGATCTGAATAAACTGACTGAAATTTACATTATAGATTCACTTTAGGAAAAGTCTGCATCTTTCCAGAAGTCATTACTGGGGAACTCATTATTTGTTCAATGTTGTATGACAACCAAATTGACTTTGTTACGCCTCCTGGGTATGATAGTTTTACACATTTTTTAAACGTAACTGATGTTTTTTATGGATTACACATAATGAATGTGCCTCTTATGGGTTTAACTCCAAGTATCTCAAATATTACATCTAGTCTGTGGTTTTCACAAAGTTCTTGTATTACAGCCCTATTTGTATGTATGCAGAGGACAGCTAATCTTATTACAATTTTAAATTCAATATTTTTTCTTACATCTCAAATATTGAAGCATTTATTTTATCAATGTATATTTGAGAATATTTGAGAATTTCCTTTATTTATGTCAAAACTATATTTGTTTTCCAAATGTCAAAAACACTGCTGAGTATCAATGAAAAAAAAAGATTGGACTGTTTCACTCAGTATCTTTATTAGCTCCTGTTCCATAAGTGCAATCCAACCCTTTACACCCTCCACAGTAGCAGCAGCTATGACAGGAGGTTTTTCATGAGGATTTCACTTACCATATGGAATGACTGTGGCAAAAATCCAAGGCAGACATGATTTGTCTGAAAAATTTCCTGGCCTCTTTAGGTGTTAACCTGCCTTTCTTCACCAAGTAGTCGAACAGTTCACCACCAGACACGTGTTCTAGCACGAGGTACCTGAGAAACAGAGAGGAGACAAAGAAATTAGGAATGAAATCAAGAGAGTACATGAGAAAAAACTCTCATACATGCACCCAGAAAGAAGAAAAATACCTGCCAGAACAAATACCTGCCCTCTCTACAAAGCCCTAAAGAAAAGAAAAACCTTGGACCTCTAAAGTTTCTGAGAAATGGCGCAATGGCAGGATGATAGTTCCCTCGAAGCACATAGATTAAAGACTAACAAGCTTTCAAATCTTTATCTTTGAAAAACTATATCATGCTGATTAATCTTTTTTATAATCTTTGGCGATCTATTGTCCATCTACTTAGTTTCATAGCACACACATACACACACACACACACACACACACACACACACACACCCTCCTTGCCATCACTTCATCATTTCATGCGGCCCTTCGTCAGGTGGCCTTTGAGTCTGTGTGGCCAAGCATTCTGTCATCCTGACTGTGTGGCCATGCTCTGCAGCTCCAAGGGGAGAGGGAGGAGATGAATCTTCACTGACCCATGCCTGCAGCTGCGTCTGTGGATTGAAAGCAAGGAGTGCCCCGGCCCTGCTCCGATCTCAACTGCTCATATATCCTGTACTCAAACTCACTCCATCTTCACTAGGACAAAGTGAAATCCAGACTGATAGTAAAATATTCTGTCTCTCCCGTTCTGGATATTAGGGTGCACATGGGTCTCTTTCATTGTATTAACATATGGCGTCTCAAACTGTAACTAGTGACAGCGCATGTGCTCATTAAACAGCCCTCAGTCCAAAGGCAAAACCTTTGTTGGAAAAGCCTCGGCAGCTTTGGCAAAAATAACAACCAGTCCAAACACAAGTGAGTGATCACAAATTACAAAAACACATACATTTTGCATGCAGAATAAGGACGGCTACAAATTTAATTTCTCTGTGAGGTAAGTTTTCTGGTCTGTGACTTAAAATACTGGCGTTCAGGCAGGATGCTCCACTGAGTTTACCCTAAAAAAGATAAATTTTTGTTACTGCTGTAATTCCTCCGATTATTCTGTTTTAAATTTGTATTTGTCTCTGAAAAATTTGCTTTATTATGATGCAAGAATCAGGATTTCCCTTTCAGATTTAATATTATATCTAAGCTAAAGTATTCAAGGTTTAGGAAAATTCTACTACTACTATTAACTCTTATAGACATACAGTTGTGGTCAGAAGCTTTCAGCGAAGACCAAAAGAACTGTAGACTTACACAAGTTGGGAAGGTCTCTTGGAGCTATTTGGAAACAACTGTAGATTCCAAGATCAACAGTTCAAACAATTGTATGCAAGTACAAGTTATTCAGAAGTGTCACAACTGAATAACTTGTACTTGTCTGGAAGCCCTAAACTGACAACCTCAGATGAGAGGAAACTGGTTAGGATGTTCAGAAACAACCGAGGAACCCCCAAGGCTCAAGCCTGCCAAGAACCGGAAACAACAGTGTCACATGGTGAACAGAGTTTTACATAGCCATAGACTGTGAGGGTGCTAACCAAGATAAAAGCCCCTGTCCCAAAATCCACACCTCTGGGCTCGACCAATATTAGCAGCTGCCTACATGTATAAGCAAAATGTCTTCAAGAAAAAAAGATTTATTGTCAGATATGGCTGTGTAGGTTCTCAGTCATCTAGGTCACGTTAGTCTAAGGAGCTTGGAAAGAAAGCGACTGAACTTTTTCTTGAAGTTTCTTGAAGATGTTTTAGCTCTTATCCAAGAAGCTTCTCCAATTCTAAAGTTCTAAATTTCTAGAACTATATAAAAGTTCTAAATCTAAATTTTACTGTCAAACAAAACAAAAAACGAGCTGTTTGACCACAATGACAAGCAGTATGTTTAGAGGAGTAAACGTGGGGCCTTCAAACCTAACAAAACTATATCAGCTGTCAAGCATGGTAGTGGAATCATCATGTTATGGAGCTTTTTTGCTATGAGTAATACTTGTAGATTGCTCAAAATTGATAGAAAAATTAAGGAATTTTTTCAGCTTCATATCAAGAAAATACCTGTTCCTTGTCCTCTTTAATCTCAGTGATGCCATTGCTTACAACATCCCCTACAATGCCTGCACTTCTGTGCTGGCACTACACTGGTTCAAAAATAGACCATTCTGTGTCAGCTTTGGAAACAATTCTTCTTCCACAGCTACACTTTATTGTGGGGTACCTCAGGGTTCCGTCTTAGGTCCCAACCTGTTCTTACAACTTCTTCTTTGGTCAGAAATCTTGGTGTGATATTTGAATCTGGCTTTAAGATAAGCAAATTAACTCAGTGGTTAAAAATGGCTTTTTCCTTCTCTGATTCAGCTCAGCCCAAAATACTGCTGCTAGGCTGCTCAAAGGCACCTCAAAAAGAAATCATATTAATCTGTTTAAGCTATTCTCCACTTATTGCCAGTGAAGTTTAGAAGTGATTTCAAGATCCTCTGATCTTGCTCTGTAAAGTTGTCTGTAAAGCTCTTCTTGACCTGCCTCCTTTTTACATGTCCAACCTCTTACACAGCTACTTGACTTCTTGTTTCCTCCAGTCAGCTGATCACATGCTTCTGACTGTCTGCTACTCTGGATTTTAAATCATAGGAGTGTTAGCAATGTAGAACAGCATTTCCCTCACAGTGAAGTCTGCTCCTTCCACTGAGTATTTTAAAACTAAACCTAAACTTATTAGGAATTTGAGTTTGTCTGATTTACTCATTGTGTCGCCTATGCTTTTTTTTTCAGCCATGACTGTATATGTTTAGCACCTGCTAGCATACGTTTACTTATTTCTGTTCTCTTTGCCTATTTACTTCTATCAAATATGTGGTACAGCACTTTGGTCAATATAAGTTGGGTTTTTTGGTTTTTACCTTATAAATAAATTAGAGTTTGAGAGCTAGATGGTGGAAACTCAAAGATACATCAAAACTGGTTTTGGAATGAATAAAGCAAGCTAGTGTTAAGCTTCTGGAATAGCTTTCTCAAAGCCCAGACTTCAACTTCATTGAAAATTTATGAACTGTTCTTAAAAGGCAGGTCTGTGCCAGGAAACCAAGCACTTTAAATGAACTCTACCAATTCTATCTACAAGAGTGGTAAAATATCCAGCCAGAATTATGCTACAAGCTTGTTGATGACTACCAAAAACATCTGATTAAGGTGCGATTTGCTAAGGGCCTTTTAACCAAACCTTAGTGGGGGTGTATGCAAATATTTGACCTGTATTTATAATTTTGTCCCCGTGTGGAGGGAATAAATATTTTCTAACTTGTGGACCAAATTCTTGTTTTTTTAAAAGTCATTAAAAATCTATGCTGTGCAATTATTCCACAACAGCTCAAAGAAATCACTGAAAATGATATTACCATGACATTCATGCCCATGATAAGTGTATGTACATTTCTTACAACAACAGATCTTGCACTCCTTGATTGATTGCTTAAGGATTCACAACAACAAACTTAATAAGATCAATACATTTTATGCTAAAAAAAATAAATCATACACTATCTGATTTGTAAGAAATTTTGCATTTCCTAGTTGAGGCTACTTGAAGAATTTCTCCAATATAATTTGTTTCTTTTACCAAAATTCCTCTCAGGCTCCTTTAAATTCTCCATCACCTCTTGTAGACACCCGCAACACCAGTTTAAACAGCTTGTGCCAGCAGAATAATAAGTATTTCAAGCTCTGGGCCTGCAAGCTGCAAACATGCTGTATGTCTATCAATTACTGGCTTTCAGGTGGAGATATCGCACTAAGAATCAGAAACATATTAAGAGAAAAATTACATCACTTGTGCAAAGCTCAGAGTGTATTCAACTCACTCGTGGTGCAAATTTAATCAATTTGTCTTTTGTGACGCTACTAGTGACCATCTGTCAGAAGTCATGAAGCAATGTGCACAAAATGTGATTTTAATAATCCAATTATAGGATGAATCATAATATTTTGCAGTTCCTATCATCTTAAAAGACGACATGTACAGCACTGCATGTCCAATCCTATTTGCTTTGTAAGCTAAAAATGAAAACTAATTGAATTTATTTGGCAAACAGTCCACTATAGATCAAGAGGTCTACTATGAACAACTGATGGGGCTGTCACTCACCACTGCTAAAGCAAGCTGATAAATGTATGAGTGTCTGCATGAGTGTGCGTGCAGTGTTTGTGTGTGTATGTGCAGCTGCTGCAGCAGGCTCTTCGTGGCTAATGTTTCTTAATGCCATGGTGTTGCCTCTGATAAGCACGTCATGGTGTTTACATTACGAAGGCTTCCTCGCCCTATTAGCAGTCCCCTAGCGTGCACAACTAAATTAAATGCTTCATGCCAATACTAATGGAGCATCTATCCCTCTAAGGCTGTAGTTGTTGGCCTGCAATCATAATACACCAATCACAACTGCTCTGCAGACCACCACAATGATTTGTGGCATTTTAACAACTGTTCTGGTGTCCAAAACAGCAGCTGACTGTAAGAATATCTCATAGTCACAAAAGTTGCTACACGAATTTCCTTCTTCTTTTATTGTGTTTGCATTACAATTATGATTTTGTATATTTCACACACATCAAATGTGGACCAAAATCAGCTGGTGATACTTACAAGTATTTTTTATTTTCGTAGACATCGTGTAGCTTTAAAACATGTGGGTGTTCTATGAGCTTCAGAATAGCTATTTCTCGCTCCACCTGTAAGAAAGAAAAAGAAGGAAGAAGAAATTAGTAAAAAGAGTTTTGATTACTGCGTCATCAATGTTGCTACATTCCTAAAAAGACTGCACACCAAGAATATAATTGGGCCTATTAAAAAAATAAATATTCCCGTCTTTCTCTTTTTTAAACCTTAGTACCAAAGTAGTGTAGTACTTTGGTTTAGGTGCAAAGCACTCAATAACCCTAAAAACATCCCCTGATGAGGCACTGCTGAAAGGGTTTCCACCAGTCTGTAACAGTTGTACAAACCAACTGCAGGCAAAGCAGTTTAGCACCTGGAGTCTTCTACTATGAAGTCAAGCTGCTGTAATAGATGCAAATACATCTTTTGGCATAGTGTTTTCAGCATGTGAGCACTAATGGTGCTTTTCCAGATGTCTCAGCCGACAATTCCATAGGCAACCGAATTGTCAGAGTCAATTTTTTTCCAAAAATAGTTTTGAAATATTGCTTGTTGACACAGAACTTCTTTCCACTTTGCTTCAGTCTGTTTTAAGCTTTGTCTCAAAGTGTTCCAGAGCCAATTTAGTGATTTCCATGACAGAATCACATCTGCTTTTAATGCAATGTCATCTGAGTGCCCAAAGATCACAAGCATCCAATAGTGATTTTCAGTATTGGTTCTTTCTGCTGGTTCTTGAAACATCTGATATGTTTTTTATATTGTGAATAAAATGGGTTTATGCGATTTGTAAATCATTACATTCTTTTCTATTTTACACACACAACTTTTTGGAATAAGTAAACTAAGGAAAGGACCTGACTGTTACTTTCTAGTGAGAGAACGGACAAAGATAAGCTTTGATCAGACTCGGAGCTGGTTAGCTTCCCAGCCAGTAATAACTGCTATCTCATGTTTGCTTCAAAAACAGATGGAAACAGGTTGCATATGCCTTATCTTACACATTCTCTTCCAAAACAAGCCTTGAAAACACTGTAACATTTCATAATCCATTGGTTTTTCTGACGTGAACACAAGTCTGTTTGTTTCGATAAGAAATGTGAGGAATTCCACATTTGAACACTGTCCACGGACTGGCTCTTACCCACAGTCAACAACACAAAGCATAGGTCAATATGGGTCAAAATGTGCACTCAGGTACATGAACATTGCCCACAAGAGGCTTCTTTACACTCGAGTTATTGACTGTACTGTAAATATAAACACTACTGTGCCCAGAAGAAACAGACAGCTGAGACAACTAAAGTCCCTTTTGTTTAATTTTGTGTACAGAGCTACTAGGTGACATGTACACTGTACAAAGCAAAATTTCACCAAAATCCAGCTGATCACTCTGGATTTGTATCACCATCTCCAGAGGTCTTTGTCAGCATGTACAGCTGCCACTGAAAATCAGCATGCAACCCGCTTCGAGAGAATCCACCACTGCTCTTCAGCACCCTGTCCTCCTGGTCTCCTCTCGGCCATCAGCTCACCCTTCCACAGTTCTTGCCCATCTTCCCTTCCACCTTCAGCATCTAACTTTGACTGACAAGGATGAAGATGAAAGAACAGCGCGAGTTAAAGGCTCCTCTCTCAATCTCATCAAAATCAATTTCACTATGTCATTTGACTGTGACAGCCTTCACATTGCTTTAATGTCATACTCAGCGTGGCTTGGCTTTATGAACACTCGTGTGGAATGAAGTCAAAACTGTGATCTGCCAGCTAACTATGTTCTCATTAAATTCTCCAAAGCTCTTTGTTCAATAAGTAATATGCACAGATCTCCAAGTCTTATTGACTTATATACTCACAATGCTTTAATTTCAAAACAGGTTTTGTTGGTGGTCTCTGCTCAGTCTGTGATTGTGGTATACCTTTACACACAATTCATATTTCTCAGGCAAATAACTTTGTATCTGGCAAAAACACAATTAAAAAAAACTGCTTAAATACATTCAGTCTCTCCAAAGAAAATGCAGTGCAGCGTTTTATTATTCAAGCTGGGCCTAACAAAAACAAAAAAAACAAAACCCACAAGAGAATAAAAAGCTATATAAAATATATTAGAAAAACTAGGCACATGTCTGAGTCTGAAAAGGGTATAAAGGGATAATTACCACTGGTATGAAGAAGCAGCATGAGAAAAAGCTAGGCTAATCAGGGTTAATCCAGACACTAATGAGTGCTATCAGCAGCACGACACTATGCCACTTTCTCACCTGAGGCTAAGGTGCGTTGTTAAGAATGAGCCCATGGTGGCTAGCTCGCTAGCTGGCAGTAGGCTCCCTGCAAGGAGACTAATGCTAACCAGGACTCGAGATGAGCTGTGGAAATCCTACAGGGCCGACATCCTAAGCTTCTTTTAACACCTCCTTTTAGTTAATTGAAAAAAAGAGAAATGAGGCTTAATGTGAAGACTTAACTGAACAACAGTCTGCTTATTGCAAGATTTGGTGTTGATTAACATACTATTATAAATCTGTGAAGCAACCTTTGCTCTTTCTAGTAATGCCTTTTTTCTTTAAGTATCCTACAGTTATCAAAAGGTGACTGGAAAAATATGGTTATTCCTCATTTGCTTTCTTCTGGAAAAGGGGTCACACAGTATGTGTTCTGTTCATGCAGTGGATTCATGCATACCTAATGCATGAAACACATACAAAGGAGGAACACCAACGGTTTCTGCATTTATCCACACAGCCACTAACTGCCCACTCACTCAAATACACACACTCTGTAACTTCATGCTAGTAATAAACAATACCAGGTGGCCATTCCCCATCTTGGCCTGGCTCCTGTGCATGCCACAGTCTCTCATTAAATTTCACATCTGTGAGTGTGGACAATTCTCTCCAGTCGCCATTTCTCCATGGGACTTCATTAGGCCTTTATTAGCAGGCACTTGGACATTGTTCACCAAGATGCACACATGCACCTAAACAGAGGTTAGATGAAGACACTCTTTTTATCTTGTCTTGTGTTCTTTTTTTGTTTGGCAGTTCAAATTACAGCAATTTCTGGTCAATTTCTCGATAACAAAACGGGTCTGCAAGGCAGGAAAAAAGACGCCTCACCAGAAAAAAGGGGTCGAATGTAAAGCAGTGTGGTTATTGTTGTGAAGTGGACATCATTAGCAGAAGACATCAGAACAGGAGCTTGTTAGTGAAAGAGCTGATTGGCACACTTCGACCCACAGTGTCACATCCTGCCACAATAGATGAATCAATAGGAAGGAACAGCAACAGTGATTTTTTTAAAAGATGTTAACTAAGACAACAACTGCAACTACAGTTAAGCTGTAATAAAAAAGCAAGCTGTATGCTGAAAGAAAAAGTCTCATGGTCCTAATGGTCTTGATGCTGTTCGGTCTAAAAAGTACAGCTTATATGATTTATTACCTTTACTACAATTTGCAAGCAAAATGTAGATGCTGCAATAGAATAATACGCATATGTGAGGGAGAAAGGCTGAGAAGGCTGTAGCTACTTGGAAAAATAAGACAAAAGGAGTAAGTGGTGTCACTCCAAATTCAGAGGATGGCAGCCAGTTTAGCATAGTTCCATCAGCTTGCTATTGATTTGTTAAATTACAGCCCTGGATCTAAATGACCGAATGGATGAGCAAACAAATGAGTGGCAACATCAATAGTTTTATCACCATGGCCAGTGATAGAGGCCAGGGGATTACAGGCATGCAGACAACAACAAAGACGCAAAGAAATTAGGTTCATGTCGCATGTGATAGAATGACCAAACACAGAAGCCAGCCCAAAATCTCAAAGGGTGAAATACTGGATCACAGGCTCTGTCATCTCTCACTCTCCACTTATTGCACCTCACACCATTTTTCCAGCCTGCCTCTCTCACCCCACAGAAGGAAAACACAGACATTTCTGTCACCTCCCCAGGCAAGTGAGTGAATGGCCCCTTGATACTGAGATCTAAGGATCAAAGTCAGCAGGGCAGCCATGTGTGTCAGATAAAAAAAAAAAAGGGTGGCTATGCTAACAGTGAGGCTGTAGTGCGTGCAAAAGCTGCTGGGTGGATTAAAAAAAACAAAACAAAGGAGAGACAGGGGAGGGTGTGTGGATGTGGAAGGGATAAAGGAAAAGCCATGTAATTCTCTCCAACGGAGAACAGCAAAAGAAAAGTGTTATGAAATGGGGGGAGGAGCAGTGGCGCCAGCTTGAGCCATCTTCCCTGCACATCACCACCCCATCTCCTGGGTCTTTTATTGTTAATTAACACAACATGGGGAAAGGACAACCTGTTTAACATTGCCATGCACCAAGCAGAGTGTGAATGATAACACAAGGCAGCAACGTAACGAGTTACAAGCATCAAAAGACGCGAGAGACCTCTCCACTTTAATAGCTTTACTTTGGGGAACAAACCAAATATCGACATTAACTGACAACAATGATTTTTTTTTATGTTTCCATATTTCTCAGCGTTTTGAAAGATGTGTAAAATATAGGATTATGATGGCATGAGTCATGGTTTAACATTAATCTATTATATTGTTTTCCAACAGCTTTGTGCCAGAGATCGTTATCTTTACAGCATAACGTCTTTTTTCCCCCCGAATATGTATTTTCATACAGCTCAGCTTTATAATTCAAAGATTACTTTTTTAAAACAAAGCAGTTTTTACTCTTAATCTACCAGTCTTCAACATTATACAAGTAGATATCATGTTTCACTCTACATTATGATATTTATATATATAGTTACTATTTTAGGGTAATGATAGAATGAACAGTTAACATATGGGGAAAATAGGCGTAAGATCTGGATGGGGTAACGGCTGTAGAGAAGGAGACCTGGTCTAACTGTTAGGGAGCAGAAGGGGAGGAGACAACACAGCTTGGCTACTGGCTCACAGACAAAACCAGTCAGCTTGTCAGCATTCATACTTGTGACATGTGGATACATTACTCTATGCTGCACACACACTGTACACATACACTCCACTGATCATGGCAAGCCAAGAGCCACCTCCATCCATCCATATGTCGGTCAGTGAGCCA